CAATATTCTTTAAATTATTCTGGTACAAGGTTTTTGTCTACTGAAAATTAAAATTACTTAATTTTCTGGTGGATTCCATCTTTACACTGTTAGGGGAAATCTTTAACCGAGACTCAATGGCGCAGCATCAAGACCTCAAAAGAAAAGGAGGTGCTCCTGACCATCAGGCAGCAATAGAAAATGCCCAGCCTCCACCTCTGAGTATTGAAGTACCTAAAATAAGAGATCTTCCAAACAAGTCAAAACCATGGAGTGATGTCCAGCTTCCTGTTGACATTCTCTTATTGACAGTGGAAGACTGTGAGTTCTTGGCTTGTTATACATACTTGACAAATGCCGTTAAAAGTTATCATGTGTACTTTGGGACAACAGGTGAAAGTGGAGAGGAATCACTGAAAGTTGCTTTGATGAGATGTTCTAAAGGTTCTTCTGGTCCAAGTGGTTCTTTAGTTACTGTCAAAAATGCAGTGGTGCAACTGGGACCCAAAGCTGTGTTTTCTATTGGCTGCTGCATTGGTTTAAACCAGAAAGGCACCAAATTAGGGGATGTGGTGGTATCCTCTACACTAACAACTGATGAATTCACAGCCCCTGTAAGAAGGAATATTGCCAACCTGATCAGATTTTCAACTGAAGGATGGAATCCACCATTAAAAGATACAGCAGCAGGAGAACAAGTACAGGTACACCGTGACAGCAGCATATTGAGTGGCGTTAACGAGCCAGCCATTCCCAAACAATGCCGTAAGTCAGAGTCTCATATGATTGCTTCTGAAAGGGAAGAAGAAGGTAAGATATTGTATAAATCACTGATTTTATAACAGTTAATGTTGGGTCTATGCAGTGTCCAGAAATTGAATTTTACTAAGTTGCATATCCATTGTACCACAGTTCATCATTATGGGAACAACATGTGTTTGAACATATCGTATTTACATACAGCAGTGTTGTTATTGTAGCCATGTGTGACCATGGCGTGTGACATAAAACAGGCTGTCTTTCAATAATTACACATAATGTGAAAGAGTGTACATAGCAGATAACAATATATGTTGGTGTAATTGACAATGGATAAGAACAGAACATTAATATACATTATGAACAACAAGGCTACAGATTAAAAACAATCGATTCCAGTATATGAAAGTCTACCCCATAAAGCTCTAGATCATATTTATTTTCACACTGCCTACCATTTCTGCATGACCATGGGTTTTTGTTTTATTGCGAGTAAAACACACACAAAAAAGAAAAAAAATTACACAAAATAAATAAATGAAAAAAAGAAAGAAAGAAAAAAACAAATGGCAAACTTACACATTTACATGGTAATACTAGATTACAGCAGTGCTAATTCCATATATTACTGTACTTAGTATGATCTATAACTATTTTTTACTTTTTTTTTCTTTGCTTTCTTTGTGGTGACCATGGGGTTGTTATCATGTCTACAAATTCAGGGCTGTGCTCTAGCAGAGCCCGGTAGCCCCAGGCGCCTAACTTTTGCCCTCAGGCGACTAGCAAAACTCAGATTTTTCATACAAATCATATGCTGGGCTAGATTTTACAGTTTCAGAACACTGGGCTCCCTTCAATTTTCCTTAGGGCACAGCCTTGAAATTAAGAAAAGTTCAGTTATTACTATAGTGAACTTGTATATAATGTCAAAGCATTAATTTCCATGTTGAGAAACTAAGAATATTGAGTTAAAATTCAGCTTTGTGTTTGTCAGGTTCAACCATACACCTGAAAAATCTCATTTTGTGTGGTCTTTATTTTTTTCTTTCCATTTATAGGACTGTTTGCTGCAGCCCATGATTTGAACCTTGAATGGGTGATTGTTAAAGGGATATCTCATTTTTCTAATGATAGTAACACTCCTGATGAGTCCTGGAAGTCATTTGCGTCCATCATGGCAGCTTCTCTTGTGTCCAACATGTTAAATGATCCAGTTGTTTTTAAAGAATGGCCTCACTATGAAGGTATTTCACATCTCTGTTCTGATATATTATTAATAGTGACAAACTTTCTGTTCAGGTAATTCTATAATTTTTGATTTACTAACATTTAAAATGGTTCCAGTTTTAGTGAAAAAAGTTATTTAATACATGGACTGCCACAACTTCTCTAATGTATAGTATTGCTGGCCAGTACTTTAATTGGAGGTACATGTAATGGCATGCACAGTAGAAGATATACTGTTATATAGTCTTTCAACCCCTGCCTCCAGTTCTACTCCACACCTTGTGTAAGTTAATGTTGACTGTGAGTGTAGCAATGACAGTTGCCTTCCTAACAATATCTGAGGAACTTATAATTTCACGAAAAATAATTTTCCAAGTTTTCTGAAGCTTGTGCCTGAAAATTTGCTAGAAGGAGATAAAAAACATGCACCATATTACTGACTTGACACAAACATTGAAATAAAATTGTGTTATATTTCAACCCTGGAACCCGGATTATTTTGTCAGTCAATTTAATTGAGGGTGAGATATGTCCCATATACAGCTATTTTGAGAAAGGTTGGCTTTTGAAGTTCATGCAACAACCCCGAAAGGTATTGTGGGTGGTTTTGAGTTCACTGTTTTTCAAAGAAATTTGAAAGAATGGCAGAAGAGGCCATGGACATTAAGTCTGCGAATGCTAAAGGAAAGGAACAAAAGTAGATTCGACAGGTACAGTGTCAGGAACAGTGTATTGAGCATATCCTAGATTGTCGTATGCACATTTTTTCTGACAACCTTTCTCAAAATAGCTGTATCAGCCCTGACAGTGCCGTTCCACATTTCTCTTGTGAGCAGAGTTTGAAGTCTACACTCTTTGTGTTCAGGGGCAAATGAGGATTGATAATTTACAGTATGTGCCAAGACAACATTAGGCTTGTAGCGGCAGAATTGGAATGGGAAAAGATCTTTTCTGTTTAAAGTTTGGCCTGTACAATTAGTCAGGGAAATGAAAAATCACAGAAGGAAAAATGACTTATGATAAGGAATTATCGGGATCGGATCTAGGATAAATGTTGACCAATTTCCTAAATGGGAACTGAAGGCAAAAGCTTCTATGAATTGCTGGAAGCATACTCCTCTGAGAAATTTTCTGGATTTAAACTCCCCAAAGTCCCCTTTCCTGGGTTTCTGAGTAATTCAGACAGCATATTGGCCAGTTCCATGCTTCTCTCTTGATGCAGGAGAGCGTGTCTAATGCCAGTAAATTGGAAAAATAAAATTTGTCCAAACCATTTTCCAGTTACACAAGGCTGTGCTCTAAGGAAAATTAAAGGGAGCCCAGTGCTCTGAAACTGTAAAATCTAGGGTGCCCAGCATATGATTTGTATGAAAAATCTGAGATTTGCTAGTCGCCCGAGGGCAAAAGTTAGGCGGCAGGGACCACTGGGCTCTGCTAGAGCACAGCCCTGGTTACAACTTTTAATTCGAAAGTTTTTTTTAAATAGTTATCATGAAAAATCTGACAGATTTTTGTAAACTGGTGTGGATCTGTGCCTGATTCTATTGTTTAATGTTAACTGAGGTATTCAGTTGCTGCTAGTGCACATACTACAGGTCAGTGATGGGTTGCTGATGGCCAGCACAGTAAATATGTAACGAGAACATAAAAACAGCTAACTTCAAATAAAATATATCTTACCAAATATTTTTTTCTGACATTTCACAGACCTGTCAATGAAGAAGCAGCCTGCAAGTCAGCCCAAAAAAAAGTTACCAGGTACCATTCTATGGAATCAATAATACCTGAGGAATATTAAATAACAGACTGAAGTTTGTAACACTGATTAGACAATTTTTTGAGGATTGAATGCTGAGATTTCATGAATTTATTAGTAAATGCAAAAATGTTGTAGTTTTAATGCCTTATTTATGTGTACTGTAACATAACTAGCAGATGTTTATCAACTAGTTGTGTTGTTTTCACCATGCACATGTTTAGCCCCCCAGCAGACGTTCTTAGGGCTTCGTAACCCATGGGGTATGTACGCATAACAAAACCCTAAGAACATCTGCACAGGAGGCTAGTGCATTTTCTGTAGGTTGACTGTTCTGACTGTTTAATATGTTACTCAAGCCAAAAGCATTTTATTTATATATTTTTGACTTAAGGAGGTTCTTTTTATGTAATTAAAACCTTTTAACAGATTCTGTATGCCTTGAGAAGTGCCAGAAACGTCTGAAAATGATTTATAACGCAAAGAGCAAAGTCAGAATCATTCCATGGGACCAAAGCTCTGCTGTTGATATTGATGAGATGTACACACAGTTGACTTGGCTTAAGGACCACAGGAAACCCAGTGGTGTGACACAAAACAAACTTGAAAGCTACACAGAGATATTCAACGGTGGAAAGCGTCTTTTGGTTTATGGCAGGCCAGGTATGCACTCTAATGTTTTTTTTATTTCGAACACTGTATGCGGAAGAATTTAAAAAGTACGAAGTGAGGTACTCAACGAATGTTTATATGGGGAGCCTCCGCCCTGAGGTCCAAACCATTAGCCTTTCATGTACCATTTTTCACGAAAAAGGTACCCCTTTCATATACCTTCTATTGACAAATGGTACCCCTTTCACATACCTTGTTTGCGACTTTGGATCCCTTTTAACTGCTGTAAATGCACTGTCCTTTCAGTAGGAATCAGTCACAAAAATAGAATGTTTTCTCGACTTTATAAGCCATAAAATTCATCTGTGAGCCCTTTTGGGCCCTTTTCACTGACCCAAATGACAGATTTCCCTACTCTTTATTAATATACTTTGACTAGTGAAATCCCTACCCTTTCATATACTTGAAGCCTGAAAAAGATACCCCTTTCAGGCAGAGCCTCCCCGTATAGGCCATCTTAGGTAGTACCCCCCTCCCCCGGGATATTTCAAACGATTCTTGTCTAACATTCCTAGCATCATAATCCTTCTTCAGTTGAGTGCATTTTAAGACATCTGAACAGATAAATAGTTTTAAGGGCTGCTCAAAATTAATCAACGATTGTTCTCAAGCATGGAGAAAACCATTTGATTCACTTCTGACCCACTTTGACACATTCAGTCGTATGGGTGATCCTGCTCAAATTCCCATGGGCAAGAATATCATTTCCTAGAGTCCAAAAATAAATACATACTTAATGGCACTCATACCATTTTCCACGGTCTGAAAATAAACAAATTCCAGTTCTTATGCTTGTCAGGTACTGTTTCATGATTGAGTATTTTTAAAAAGTTAGTATTTGGTTAGTGCTAATAATCATCTTTTAAACTGTATTTTCAATGATTATCAGGCTCAAAACTCTTGTTTCAGAAGTTATTGTATCTATTAATGTTTTTTAGAAGTACTTGAATCAGAAATTGTTTTTCTAACTGTTGTTCATTTGTTGTTATCCAGGTATTGGTAAGACTGTTTTTACCAAGAAAGCCGCTTTTGACTGGTCCCAGCAGAGATATCAAGAAACGATAGGAGCCTTTGAACTTGTCCTTCTGATAAGATTACGTGATGTCTGTAATCTCCATGATGTTCCATCCATTTTTAAGGCCTCTCAGCTGCTCGCCAATGATGGCAAAATTTCTGTTGATGATCTGTACGGCTACGTTCTTAATCATCAAGAAAAAGTCTTGCTTATCTTGGATGGCTACGATGAGTACAGTGCAACGCATCAATCGCCTGTTGATGAAATTTGGAAGAGAAATCAACTGAGTGACTGTTGTGTTATAATCACCTCGAGACAAATGACAACTGACAAGTTGAGAGAGCCCAGTGATGCCCAATTTGAGATTAACGGATTTGACGATAAGCGCCAGAAAAAGTTTGCTCGAAGATTTTTGAAAGATGAAGATGATGTTCGAAATTTCCGTATCTACTTGAGGGAACAACACCTTAAAGACTTGGCGGAGATTCCACTTCTTCTGCTAATTTTGTGTCTACTCTGGAAAGAAAAAGATCGCAAAGAACTACCCAAGAAACGCGTAGAAATCTTCAATCAGTTCGTTAAGACTTTGTTTCATCACATGCATGGAAAACAGTCTGCTAAATCGGAGTTTAACATTGAGGATTACTCAGATGAATTATATGCATTAGGGCGCTTGGCCTTTGAAGCTCTCATGGATAATTGTTTGTACTTTCCAAGAAGTGAATTACCTAGCTACGATCTGATCGAGAGGTTGATTGAAGTCGGCCTTTTTCAAGTTTTGAATATGTCAAGTTTGAATCCTGAAAAAGGTGTGTATTTCATCCATAAATCCCTGCAAGAATACCTTGGGGCAAGTTTCCTGAAAGAAGAGCTGATATCTAAAAAGAATGAGAGTACAAATTCCTTATCAAAGTTGGACTCGGTTGAAAAGATCCTCAAAATGAATGAAGTGTTAAAATTTGCTAGTGAGCTGTCAGAAGAAGCCGCGCGCGAGATTGTGATTCATCTGATCAAAATGGCGGTGAACGAAGAAGGACTAACGAAGTACACCTTCCACAGCGAAGCACCGTCAAAGGAGGATTTTTCAGAAGACCAAAGAAAATTTCTAACACTCTGTACACAGTTGTTTTTCTACTGTTCAGCTGAGACAAAAAGAAACCTCTTTCCTACATTTCTTTCCTCTTTTAGAGGAGTTCTTTTAATTGAAGCAGACCAGCTAAATGATCTTGTGAAGGAAAAGTTAGTTAAAACTACCGTAAACGTGAATTACGTTTTTTTCCCTTATAACAAAGAGTATTCAGAGCAAGACTATAGAAATTTAACAATTTTATCTGAACAATTAAACGCTGTCATTGTAAGTTGTTCAGGAGAAAAGAAAGCATCAGAATTTTTAAGCAACTTAACGTGGTGTCCAGTTGGTGAATTTTTCCTAAAGAAAGAAGAAAACAACGCTCACCTGTATTTTACACAAATTAGTACAGGTGGATCCGGTTTTCTTGCTGATGATATAATAAAGGCATTAATAAGTAAACAAGAGACAACAGAGAAGACAAACATGAATAGTGATGAGTCAAGTGAAGAGAGCAGCAGCAGTTGTTGTTCAAAGCGTCATGGTCTCTCCAGGGTTCAGAGGATTAAAGCTTGGAAAGTGAGCAGGTCAGAAGTGGAACAGCTGATTGAGATGATGCCGTTTACCACCGCTCCATACTGGATATGGGTGTGGGGTAAACGCGGTGAAGTGTTTGATGCTGAGGTAACAGAGTCTCTGCTGAGGAGCATCCCAATAACACACAAACTGGAGGAATTAACACTCCATCGTATCAATGTAACACCATCACCTGCTGTGGAGTTCATCGACAGTTTATTTAAAAAAGCTACAAACTTAAAGGTGCTCGACATGTCATACAATCCTCTTCTAGGTGCAGGAGTAGACAGCTTGATTAAACATCTCAGCCGCGCTCCTCACCTGGAGACACTGGAGCTTCACAGAGTGAAGATGACTCCACAGCAGGTGAAGGGTCTGTCATCAGCCATCAAGCAGCACGGCAACATCACTGTACTGGATTCATCCTACCACGTAAGTTTTCCAATTTTATCGCAATTTGTTTCTTTATTCTTTGTTTACAGTTTATTTCTACTCAGCTCTTGCCTTTCGCCATTTTCCTTTCTTTGTTATTTTTATACTCGACAAAACACGAGATTTACTTTTGAAAACAAATCCCAGACTTTAGCAGATTCAAAGTATCGTTTGAAATTCATTTCTTTCAGTTGACCAAACTAAATTCAAAACAATGTTTTAACCGTGAAATTTCTCTTCGAGTCTGGTTCAACTCGATGTGAGCTCACTTATAACAAATACTGTGTTACATATAGAAAACAAAAATTCCACAATATTATAAACTTCGGAATCAATTTTAATTCATTACTTTTTATAAAATGATGAACTGCAAGCATAAAGTCAAAATATGTTCAGTTCATGTTCAATTCAAACAAATAATTTGCAAAGTAAGAGAAAGAAAGGTTAACTTACAGTTTCACTTTTATGGCGAAGATTTCCTAAAATCAGTCAAACTCAAGAAAAGTTTGTTTGAGAGTCCAGAAAATGAAGAAGTCTTTTCAGAGGTGTCCTTTTCTTTGAGTGTTCTTTGCGTGTCGTAAATGCGTGTCTTTGCGTGTCGTAAATGACCTTGCTCAGTTACGTTGGCTTTTTTAGATAACTTTCCACAAAACAGAGAATTCCTCAGGGACACTTTTGTTCAAATGTAACGCCATACATTTTATGTACAGGTAATCACATGATTTCGAGTGCAATTTGGAATAAATAAGCACGAGTAAATTTTTTTAAAGGCTATCAAAATTACGGGCGAGTGCAATTTGTGGTCTTTGAAAAAATTTACGAGTGCTTATTTATTTCAAATTGCAGGAGAAAAATTATGTGATTACTTATTAATAATATTCATGAAAAAATTGCGAGATAGCTTTAAAATCTCTTTAATAGGGAGTCAACCCGCGTAAACTACGTGCAAAAATAAATTGTTCAAATGCTGCAAATATCATCACACGTGCAGTCAAAACAACATTTTGCTTGATGTTTTTAAAGTTTGCGAGCTGCAGGAACGGGCTGAACAGTTCATGGAATTGTTCAATGTGTTTGAAAGAAAGATTCTGAGTTATTACCTCGAGTTTTCCGCTCTTCCAGAGAATTTCTTCTTCCTCCTCTGATACTTGCCGAGCTTTGTTTGGGCGCTTACCACGGCCAGCCAAGCAAAGCTGTTTCGCTTTGTCCTCCAACACCTCTTTGGACGAACTAAATTCTCGGTCACGTACAATGGACAGGGTGCAGCCTTTGTTCTTTAAGTGTCTATCAAGCGATGCCTTCATTACTTACTTCATTACTTTCCTTACCTACGCACCAATTCTTCCAAAAAGAGAGCCAAAAACCAGTGCTTTTCGCAGTGTTTTCGTTTTTAGAGCAGTTTTTCAGCGCCTCTACTATACAGTACAGTTGTTTAGGTCGCAAAAGCTTTTGTGCGGTTTTTGCTCGAGACTGGTCCGGAGCGGATCCAAATTTTGCGCCATTTAGATGGCGCATTTCATTGGCTCTCAGTGAAATCCTTTGTTTATAAGCCAATCAGAATGTCACGTTTGTTACTCTTTTCTGCACTCAATTACCTTTTTTCTGCACTGTGTTACCTAAAAACTGCATTCCTCGTAGCCAATCACAATCGAGAAATTTTTTCATGTATATTATTACGTAGGTAATTGCACTCCACTATGGTATTAACTGTCTATTTTTGTCGGCGACATGTTTTTTACCAGCTTGACGACAAACACTATGGCGTTAGCAAATCCTGCGTCGCTTTGTTTCTTCAATTGATAAGTTTTTATCCTGCTAGCCTCCACAAATCCTTTGACAAATTCTGCAAATTCCACAGTAAATAAGCCGAATCTTTCTCTCACTGACGTTTTACGTTGTTTTCTAATTCTTTTTAGTCCATCGTAAGCATTTTTGCGTTGAATTTTTTCGTTGAAGAACAAACTCAACTTAAGTGACAACAAACTGCAAAGTCAACAAACTGTCATTCAAAATGGTGTGAGAGAAGGCTGGTGACGTGGTAACAGCTGATTGGTTAAATTTAAACACATGAAATGTTCCTGTCAATCACGATATGCCACGTGTGGCATTTTCCCGCCTTTTGTTTGCCAAAAAGCCAGCGTTCGCGCCTTCCTGCATTTTTGTATTTTTTGGTCGGTGCCTCTGACCCTAAAGTACCCTGGGTGCCAGAGGATTTTTTTTCCTGTTGTTTGCGGCGAAAATTGAGCGGCGAAGCAGCGATCGTGACGATCACGGCTTCGTCGCTCAATTTTCGCTGCAAACAATAAGAAAAAAAACCCTCTGGCACCAGTGTAACCCTAAACATGGGTGCAAAAAAAATCAGAAATATTAGATTGGTAGAGGAAATTGAAGGTCAACGATTGATTAGCTGTCTGTCCTCTTTTTAAAATTTTGGGAGCCTACATTGATTATTTGTTTCAGACGTATTTTCTTCGGATAATTGATATGAAAAGAAAAGACCAAAATAAACACTTAGAATTGAATATAAAGGCAGCCAGGGCATATTTTGTTCCCCATATTAAATATCGCATGTTATCCAATTAGGATAATTGGGAAGTTAATTGGGAAGTCTAGGACGGTGACTGCGCGTGCTTGACAGAGGTATCCGCTCAGTATAGCCTGTGTATAGCTGCTCTCTCCCCTCAGAAAAATCGCCCCATTCTCCGATTTTTATATGGGAATTAAATTCTGGCAATTTGATAAGTTTCCACTTTACAGAGGGCGGCCGCTTAACACAGGGCTGCGTGATAGAGATTTGAATGTATTAGCCTTTTCATGCTGTACATGCGTTGCACTCACGCAGTCTGAACTTACTGAAAGTGAAGTTATCACGTTTCTTTTGTTTACCCCCCTTGTTCACGTTTCAATGAAATTAAACCATAAGTGCAACGTCAAATCTTACATTAATTGTTTTTGTTGCAGACAGAAAATGGCGAACCCCTCCCTGAAGATAAGTGGCCATCGGAGGACTACTGGAAAAAGCGGTACCCGGAACTATTTCCTGATTCATCATCTGAATTAGAGGACGAACAGGAGCAGGTGGGTCATAGACTCAGGGTCAAAACACCCATAGTTTTGCCATGGTTTTTTAAAAAATCCATTTCAGTTCACCTGTGTGATTTGCTTTAAAAAAGTTATACTAAAACTTCATTGATTGCACGTGCAAATCTGTTCTTCTGTTGATCGGACATATTCAAGGAAAACCGGGCTTTCCTTGATCATTGGACGTGTGATTTAGCTTTCAAATTAAGCGGCATCGTCGTTTTGCTCGTCAGTGTAGCGGGTGTCAGTCGTTTAGTTTAGTAAGTTTAAAACACAATGCGCAGCTGAGATATTTTGAGACTCGACCATCTTGTCAGTTCTGCTTCATCACCTCTTGTTCTCTTCTATCACCTGTACAGATTCTAGAAGAGACTCACCCCAGTGTTCACGGCTCACCATTCTTGGCTCACGATCCCGACACCGTAGGAACATTCCCAGTGCCTCCCGATCCTGCTGGTAAGGTTTCAACTTCAACTATTTTTGATTAGCTTTTTTGAACAGTTCGCAGCACCAATGCGACGTTTTACACAAGTCCATTACGGTCAAACCTCACTTAACTCTCATCTCATCTCATTCATGATTGAATGAACTCATCAGGAGCGGGAGTGTTACTTGTGGGATTCTAATTTCTACCTCTTACTTTCTACAGCCGGTGTGGTTTTAGCGGAAGCTCCGACCCCTGCAGAGCATGGATCCAGCCACGGTCAGACATCCTTCAGTGGGTACCTCCCTCCTCATGTTGATCCCCAGCATCACTCCTTCCCTGATATCCACACCCATTATCCCAACACCCCGTCCACCATCTTTACACCTGGAGGGTCCTGGAGATATCCCTACCCCAGTGGATCTGGTCTGTCTACTGTTACACAGGGCGAGTCCCATTTGGAATGTTTGTCCGTTAATGAGGTAATGGATCTGGATTCAGAGAGCTTTTCTTTTAAACATAATTAAACAGTGGTTAGGATTTGTCTTTACTAAGACTGTTTTTTGGTAACAAAGTTGTTGATAGCCGGTTGAACTTAAAGTCCTTCGCTGTTCTGCAAGAGTTTTTCTTGTGACGAAGGCTTTAAGGAGACTTGTCAAACGGTATTCATCTTCATTGAGGATGTTTTAGTGATGCCTCGCTTATTTTCAGACAGGATGAACGTAAGTTTAGAATTTAAGGTTTGTTGAAGTGAAACTGTTCACTTCATTTAAAATAGAAGTTGTAAGCAAACACGAAGCCTGAAACACGAGATCGGCCTAAAAACCACATTGCTCTTACCAGGATTCACCGTTCAAAGCTAATGGTTGTGTTGTGAAGTATTTTGAAAGTTATTTTTAAGACGGATCTATCTTAACTTTTGAGTTTAGTTTTTGTTTCATTAAGTATTGTTTTTGTCCACGTACTGTTTTCCTGTTTTGATCTTTTGTTTTTACTTGTACTTGAAGTTATGCTTAGCTCGCGAATCTACTTATTGCCATATTAGGAATGTTACAGGTGGTCGTGTTTGTGGTGTTAGAGCTGACCTTCGTTCTTTGGTAATTATCAGCTGCGGCTGTGCGTAAGCTAATCTATTCCCTGACAATAGCAAACCCGTTGCAGTGTTAGCGATAAGAAATACAATAGAAACTCTTCCGGTCAGCTAACCCAAACATGTCCAGCTTTGGCTATTAAAACCGTTACTATACTTGAACTAGTGCATAGAGAAAAGCAGGAAAAGTAGGGAGAAGTAGTGTAAGCAGAAGTTGTAAGAAGATTAAGAAGAATAAAGCAAGATGTAAATCAGATTCCTGGTACCTCGTCGTGTAGCGAGCGAGTTGCTCGAACACACCTCCACAGTTGCTAGCCTCAATGACATCGAAAATAGATTTTTTGGAACTAGTAGTTTCCATTGGAAAGTGAAGTGCTGCGAGTAGTAAAGCTAATGCAGAAAGTTAATTTACATTTCATTTACACTTAGTTGGCATCACTTGCAGTTCATTTCGAATATACAATTCGGATTATTCATGTGTGAAACTAATGGAGTCAAATATGGCGAGGGAATTTTCGCAACTTTTCATGTAACGCAATAGTAGCCTGTCGGAAATGTGCATGTTACGCAATAGCAGCCTGCGAATACAGCTCTCTCTCCTTGCTCCCCGTCGCTAGGGACGTTTCCCCAGGAGGGACGTTTTGCGGCAAGGAGCGAGACTGATGACCATGATAACGTTCAGAGCATGTGAGTGAAAGACTGAATCCGCCATCAGGTTCAATACTGAACTCGTTCATTTGATACGCTTCGCGTAATCACTGGTTAAATTCGCCTTAGATCTTCGTTTCTATCGTGTTTAAAACTTTTAACTAGTAAGGGTTGATTTCCAGTGTCGCGTAATTTTAACGTACGTACGTGCCGAAAATTTACGTTCGCAAATAAAATGGAGGCAATGCATGGAGGACCACTCGTAAGCGTGAAAGTTCAACCTCGCTCAACGTCTCGTTTAAGCTCAGCACTTTTTATCTTGCCTGTATTTTATTTACGTGATTAAAATTTACATGCGTTAACGTGCGTAGCCAAAAACGCGTCAGTGAAAATCAACCATTTTCACTATCGCGCAATTTTTTTCCTGCAAACGCAGAGGCTCAACTTTCACGTTTACGCGTGACCTTTCATACATTGCCTCTATTTTATTTACGCGCGCAAAAATTTACGTGCGTTCGCACGTAAAAATTACGCGACAGTGGAAATCCACCATAAGGGAGAAAAACATCGCCACCTTTCCAGAAAAGCTTTTTCTAGTTAGGAGCTTAAAATAACTGCAGCGTTTGAAAAAATACAACAAAGCCTAAATAAACAGTTAAGCCAAAACACTGAATTTAGTATTTACTGTAGAGTTCCAGGAATTGCTTCAGATATATCTGAATATATTCTGAGAAACGCATCGCTTCGCTCGCGAAAACGTTACTTTTTGCACAGAACAGGATTTCTCCGCTTTAAATTTTTACATCTCACTTTAACGACGGTTGAGTGTTTTATATGATACAGTATTTACTTTTCCCTGGCAACGATAAAAAGAGCGTTTTCTTTCCAAATCGATTGGCTGCGACCAAAAGGTCCTCGATTCGAGGGCCACGATATCGAGGCAAATTCGGTGATATATGTGCTTACTTACAAACTTACAAACATATTCTCAAAAGAGGCCCGCTTCGGGCACAGACAGTCACGTCCTCAGCCTGAATTAGTGGGCTTCGCAGCAATAATCTTATTGTGGTATGACAAGCCAGAAGCGTATTTTGCGAAGGAGGGTATAGATGCACATAGAAATAAGGATTGTTGAAAATAATAATACTACACTTCACTGGGTTATCCTAGAATCGCTGTACACAATAATGATCGAGCCAATCAACTGAAGATCAACATAGATGTGACTTGGTTTGTGATTTGTTACAGGATTCCCAAGGGAACCCCAAATCTGAACATGAATGGCAATCAGAGCCTGACCTTATTCCTGATTCATCATCCGAATCAGAGATGGAACAACAGCAGGTGGGTTATCAACTTTTACTAAAGTAAAGAAAATCATTCCTTTCAATTTCATTCTGTTGAAGCGTAAAGTGTTGTTCTTCGGTGGCATTTCAGAGGTGTTACGAATACTTGCCATTAGGCGCAACTCGGGGCATGGGAACTAATATCACTCAATAATTAACAATTATACTACCTCCTCGTAGACTTTCTTGGAAACTTTGGCCTATTTCTTGGCACAGTTTAGGATATAAAACAGATGTTTTTTCCGTGCAGATACTCCTCAAACAATAGATATCACCCATCGAGCAATACGTTTTGCGTATTCTTGGATTTCCTTCGTTCAATTTTAGTCAGAAATTCAACTACTTCGTCGTCGATAGCCGTGAACTCCATTTTTTTTAGTCCACTATTGCCCAAGCAGACTTCCAGGCAAATATACCATTGATCAGCCTCGTTTCCAAGCAAATATGCCATTGATTCGATGGTATATTGCTTGCATCTTCCAAAAAATGGGAAGCGCCAGTTGGTTGTGAAGAATTAGCCGGGGGATTGGAGCCAATCAGAAACGGCGAAATAATTTGCCTGAATAATAGATGTTGCGGTCAAACCGGGAAAAACCGTGAACACCAGAAATATTTCTGGAATATAATTGTGTTGCAAGAAAAAAGCCAATCAGGCGTGAGAAAACTAAACCGCGAACAACAACGTTTACAAGTTTGTGTTTTTATGGCTGGTCGCGTGTCTTGATCTTTGCTGTGATTGGTCGTGATACAATAAACATGCCTGAAATATTTCAAGTGTTACGGTTTCGCCGCTTTCACTGTAACGACAAGTCTGGATTTCATGTCCGCGCTTGTACCGACCATCCTCGGAGACCCAAGGGCAGTCAGTTGGGTCGAGAGAAAAGGCGCGACGAAAGTTTTCCCGAGGATGGTACCAACAAGTCAGCTTTCCTAATACCAACATTATGTATATACTGACAAATAACATTTCAAAGCTCTTCTGTTTTTAACCACAACTACAATTTTTATTGTGCTAGGGACAATTTTGGCGCATCGGCTGATTTTAAAAGGGACAAATTGTCACGCAAGCGCAAGACGTATTTAGTAAATCAATAGCGGCTTTATGTAAATCGCTACTAGTAGTACGGCGACCGGAAGTTCCTATTTGCTTGATCATCCATGTCAAAATTCCATCATCTTTTGGTTTCTTTTCTACCACTCGCACAGATTACGGAAAGTATTCTCCCCGGTCTACTCGACGCACCATGGTTGAAACACGATCCAGACACCACAGGAACATAGCCTGTTCCCCCTTATTCTGCTGGTAAGTTTTCCAACTTCCCTGTTGTTGATTGGCTATCAGCACTAGTACAACGTGTTACACAAGCCCATTGCGGTGAAATATCACTTTAGTTCATGTGATTTCATTCATGATTGAATAAAATCGGAGTAGGAGTTTGTAAAACACTGTTCGTTCAGAGTCTTGAAATCTTGAAAAAGTCTTTTAATTTGCAAAGTAATTTTCCAGACCTGGAAAATAGAGGTAGAGGCACTCAGTCTGGAAAAATCAGGATTGAAATTGTTTACAAGGTGGAGTCAGCGGAGTAAAAAACTTTAGCTCGCTTCTTTTAGCCGATCAAAAGCGGGAAAATAGAAGAGATCCAAAAATACTGATTACCAACTAAATGGATAAAATGGCTCATATATTCCTGATATACCGCCACATTTATCATGACTTTGACTTACATTCATAAAATGGTGCCAAACGGTTGACATCTGTCAATCAGTAGGATACAAAATGGCTTCCCAATAGCTTGACTATTTATTTTTAACCCTTTAAACCCTAAGATCAAAATTTGCATTCTCATTTGTTGTCCCTACTCATTTCCTACAGAAGTAGTGGGGAGAAGTTGATAAAATATCAAGCAAATTCATACTTGTGTTATCATGTCCATAATTCTCATGACCACTCTGTTTCACAAAGCATTGATATTACAAGGAGAAATTTGATGCTGATCACTCTTAGGGCTTAAAGGGTTAAAGGAACCTTTTTCGCGCTTTTGACAACAACACAGTCCAACTGCATAAAAAGTACCATTTTGCACTTTTGATAGGAACGTTTCTAACCGCAAAAGGTACCTTTTTAGCGATTTTGATGAGATCGCTTGCAACCGAAAAAAAGGTACCGTATTTACTCGAATGATAACCGGGGGCGATTATTATTTTTTTTCGCACAAAATACTGATAGTTCCTCTTCGAGAGGATCAATAATGGAGATCTTGATGAAAACTTTTAACTTTATTTCTGTGGGAAGAGGCTTTTTTTATGCATTTTAATCAAACGCGACTTGAGTTGTAGCGTGAGGCTTGCCCGAAAAATGACATTCAGTAAAAACCTCAGCGCTGATACTTGCCACAAATGATGTTACCAGTCAGTGTGGCATAACATTTACTTTGACCTGGTTCGGGGACTGAGATTCTCCCTCTTTGTGATCTAGTATTCACTGACTAAATAAACAGTTCATCTTTGCGGATTGATCGTTTCGCTTATCATCTCTTGTTCTCTTTTATCGCTGCACAGACTCTGGTGGAGACTCGCCTCAGTGTTCACGGCTCACCATTCCCTCCTCATGATCCCGACACAACAGGACCCGGATTCCCAGTGCCTCCCGATCCTGCTCGTAAGGTTTCAACTTCCTTGATTTTGATTGAGTTTTTTAAAACGATCTGAGCACCAATTCAACGTTTTATACGAGTCCGTTGCAGTCAAACGTCACTTCAGTGAAAGTTAAAAGTGGCCAACGTCCAAATTCGACAAAATGTCCGAATTTTAGTTTTTAAAGTGCTGAAAAAATTAGTACCGTGTGAAAGTACTGCTAAAGAGGTTTCATTTGAATGATCACACAAGAGCGTGATTTCTTTCACTGACTTTTTAAGACTAAGGTGCATTAAAAATTAGCGTACATGATGACCATAAGTCTGAAATCCGTTGTTATTTCTGTACCATCATATTACTTGTGGGATTCTAATTTCTATACTTTTCTCTCTACAGCCCGTTTGGTTTTAGCGATAGCTCCTACTCCTCCAGCGCATAGTTCCAGCCGCAGAACCTGTTGCACCCTTCTGTGAAAACCCCTTTCATCACATGCAGTATCCATACCATTAATCCTCTTCTGATATGCGCACCCATTATTACGGCACCCTGTCCACCATCCTTACGCTTGGAGGATCCTTGAGAAGTGATCTGTATTTTACCAGTGGTTCTGGTCTGTCAGCAGTTACACAGGACGAGCCGAAACTCGAATGTTTGTCCCTTGATGAGGTAATAATGGGGGATTCAGAATGCCTGTCTTGGATATTGTTATTACACAGTATTTAGATTCATCTTACCAGGGATGTCTTGGGCAGCGCCCAGGCACGGTGCCAGAGTACGGTACTTGCTGGGCACTGATGTGAACACACCCTTTTTTCAAGTACCCACGGCAGAATTTGGGCACCGGGTCCGTACGTGTACAGTGTTTTTGTTTAGTTCCGGGGCAATCCACTGCTTTGTACTCCCTGCTATGCTCAAGTTTCAAAGTGGCGTCTGACAANTGAAAGGAAAGTTTATAAGACGCAGCTATGTTTGGCTGCGAGAGCTCAACATCAAATACTTTTTCTCTGTTGTTCCCTACAACAACAACAACAACAACTTTTATTCAGAGTCCGAGGTGGAAGTGTTCGTTGGTGAGGTATTGAAAGGAGTAATGAAGGCAGATTCTCAAAGCTTTTCTTGGACATTCGTTTTTAAAACAGTGTTTAGGAACCGTCTTATTTAAGGGATACCCTATACTAAAAAGCAAGATAGTATTTGCATTTTATAATGGGAAACTGACAAAACTGAGAGCTGATGAGAAAACGTAAAAGCCGAAGATGTCTTATTAAGGATTTCTTTGTAAACAAGTCATTTTCTCGGGACAAACTTTTTGAGGAAATTTTTCGTTCTCTTTTTTAACATGCAGAGATTCTTGCGGAGTTCCAGTGGGACACTCGGCCCAGTACTCAGGATGCGCCGTTACACGACCTCAGTGGAGCCGTTGGACCAGTTCCAGTTCCTCTCGATCCTGCTGGTAAGGTTTTTACTTACCTTTTCTCATCCGTAGTACAACTAAAACAAAATAATTTCATTGGCTTGTAACGCAGTGACTGAATTAATCAGTGATGTGAGAATACGAAAAAATTCCGCGTAGTGCTTTCGTTTTTCATTTGATTATCTAATTCTTGACACAGTTATCAAAAAAATCAGGTCCCACTTTTTCAATAGTTATAGACGCTTCCATATCCAGTGGCTACGTGTCAGGAAAGCCAATGGCGTTATCCATTGGCTGGTTATTTGATCTGATTTATTCAGTGGATAGCACTGTCCAGCTGTTAAAATACTGGGCGCTGAAGGTCTGTTGAAGATCGAAAAAATACTCCTCGTAAGACAACTCTCTCATAGTCTGCCTTCTATAATCTCCCAAGTGGACATTTTCCATGTCGAATTCAGTGGGTTTTGCTTTAATTTCCAGTTCAGGCTTCCCCGTCACTCGCCATCTTTTCTGTATATTTCCTCTCAATTCTACAAACTTTAGCGTGGCAAAAACAAATAACTCAAATCAAACTGAATAACGTCAAGAGATCACGAGAAATGTTCTTAAAGACCATGTGCCGGTTATGAAAACAAATTTTAGACGGCGTTTAACGAAACCGCCTTCTAAGTCTTTTTTTCTTCTTTTAATTGCAATGTGCATGCCCTTCTCCGACCTGATATCTAAACATTGTTTGGTGTCAATAGGGTAAGAAAACTATGTATCTATTTAAAAATATTGGGGGTCACCGTCTCTTAAACTAGCGCTGTAAGTTAACCTGTTTTAATAACAATCGCTTTTTATCATCGTACTACTTGTGGGAATCGTAATTCTCTCCTTTTTTCACTACAGCTGATCCGATGTTGACAGGAGCGTCTATTACTACAGCACATGGAACGATCATGGTCAGGCACCTGTTGAACCCTTCAGTGAAAACCACGTTCACATTCAGTATCCCCAGCATTACTCCTCCCCTGTTATCCAATCCCATCATCACAGTACCCCGTCCTCCATCTTTATATTTGGAATATCCTTGGGTAGCGATTCGTATCTCGTCGGTGATCCTGGCCCCTCGTCTGAGCCCAATTTTGGAAGTTTGTCCGTTGATGAGGTAAAGAGGCCGGATTCACAAAATTGTTATTAAAACATTGGTTAAGATTCATATTCAATAAAAGAGATTTCATTGATTAAATGCGCTTTTCATAACAAGCCTGTTTATAACAGAATAGTTATTCAGCGTCCATGGGCAGCAAAAGTGTGAGAACTCGACGTGGTATCCTAATACACTTGTAGTAATAAAGGTTTAAGGACTTATTTTACTTGTCATTAGTCAAGAACAGTTTATGTGAGATTATCATTTATAGACAAACAGGATTATTATAATAAATGACAGTAGGAAGTGGGTCCAGAGAGGTGGGATTGATCGGTATGTTTTACTTTAGTAAAAGAATCCCATACAGTCCAGTACAGTCTCTCTTAACCCTTTAAACCCCAGTATCCACATACGAATTCTCCATACTGATCTCCATACATTTCCTTGAAGAATCAGTTGGGAAAATCTGATAAAAGATCAAAGCATTTTTATTAGGGTGATCATTTTAATAATTCTCATAACCTTTTCCCTTGATTGTGTACTGATATTGTTAAGAGAAAATTGATGTTGATCACTTTTGGGACAGCACAGGAAGACCAACGCTTCTCTATCGTTGATCCCCCTTTTGCCGTTTTTTAGTCATAACTAAACTCGTGCTAGGACAGACAGTTAGAGCCAATCCCGATGGTGGTTGTTGTCTTAGGGAGGGTTGACTGTAGACAGAAATGTTGTTGTGATCAGTAAAGTATATCAAACAAGTCAGCTGGCTATTCCCCAAATCATCCACTCTGCTGAGTGTTCTTTACACTGCCGTGAAGTCAAATGATAAATTGCTAGTAGATCACAGGTTTGATTTGCTTCTTGTACTGATATTCTGTTGTCCTCTTTTCACAAGTTAGTAAACACTTTCGTTTTACTCGATTATATTCTCAGCTCTTCCTCACTGACTTGTTCTTCTCCTTCATATGCACAGATTCTGGCAGAGTTGCAGTGGAACACTCTCCCCAGTACTCAGGACGTGCTGCTGCAGGATCCTGGAACCGTTGGATCAGTTCCAGTCCCTCTCTATCCTGCTGGTAAGGTTTTCAGTTACCTTTTTTTACCCGTAGTACAACTTAAACAACATAATTTGATTGGTTTGTAACACTGTGACTTAAGCAGCGATGTGAGAATACAGAAAACTTCACATAATACCTCTTTCATTTGATGGTCTAATCGTGACTAATATAGAAAACAGAAACAAACAGGTGCCGGTTTTTCAATAAAAAGATAAGCGCTATCCATCAGATAAATCAGTACTCAGTGGGCAGGGATTAGGAAGCGGTTATTTCTCATGGTTTTTTATTTACGCGCTGGTTAGTTCTATTTTTCCTGTTGAACAACTGGGCCTGTAGACCCCTTGTAAGACCCCTTTCTCTGTCAGTTTATCTTTTATAATTTCCACAGTGGACATTGCTTTAATCTCTTTTAAAGTTTGCACAATAACTTCCAAAAGTCATCAAAGGCGAAGTTAACTTGAATGCCACAAATCTAAAATCAGTAGCTTTCCCTGTCACATCATAATACTCGAGCGGGATCTTAATTAATTTGTACTTTTATTTCTCTTCATCCGGTCCTGTGTTAGTGAGTGCTCCAGTTAGTACGGCACATGATTTCAACCACAGCCTGGCACCCTCCGTTGAAGACCCCCCTCTTCAAGGAATGCCGGAACCTTCACTGTATGGATTGCAGATCCAGAGTACAATTGCAGGTGACCACTGTTTCAGTGGATCAACCAGTTCTACAGTTCCTCCCCTGGTAGGTACACTGGGATATTTTTCCTCGCATGGAATGATGGGACAGTCTATACATGGATTACAAACGCAGAGTACAATTCCAGGCGTAACAGAATCCAGTGGTTCTGGCATAACCACAGTCACGCACCCGCTGCCAGGAATCCGGGGATATGTTTCCCCGCATGGAATGCAAATTTCTTCACTTCCCAGCATGCAGAGTAGAAGTCCAGTGATAAGTGAACACACACAAAATACGGACAGTCTTTGCAACGCATCTGGCACAAGTTCAGAATCGGCACTACTATGATATATATAAATTTCTGATGGCAATTGTGTAAATTTTCCAATTTATACAGTACTGGAATAGATTTGCGATGCATTTTGTTTATTTTTACTGTAAATAATATTTAAATTTTTCGACACGGAAAACTGTGTAATTCTGCTGTGCGATGTGGCAGCAAACACGTTCAATCCTTTGTGTGGATGAATCAACAATACTACAATGTACATAAATTCATGACAATCTTTATAAGAATACTCTCTTTTTTGAATAGATTTTTTAGTGTCTATATTATTTTATTTTTTGTACCAAGTAAACGTTATGGACAAAGAAAAAACAACTACAATTTTGCTTTGCCATTTTTACTCCTTGTTTCTCACTGTTTCCACAGCTAATAGCATCATTTCCTTGAAGGGGCCATAAATTAAAGAGAATTGGCTGCATTTAAGGTTCCCAAAAACCCAGCTTTTCTAAAATACCTCTCTTAACTGGAAATGCCCTTTACCCGTCCAGATGTACTAACAATGACATAGCGTTCCCACACAGGATAAGAATGCTTTGCTTCCACGTGGAGTTACTTGGTCTTTTGTTAATCGGAGTAAAACCTTGCAGAGGTATATGTGGCATACTTGATCCAAATACATCTACTGACCAGAAATAGATGACATGATAAATCAAAAAACAAAGGATTGCAATCGAAAATGCCAGGAGGGGATCTAGGAAGCTATGAAAAAGCGGCGGGGGAGGGGAGGGCGGGGGAGTAAACTTTTCCCAAGATTAGAACTGGTTTCCATCACCTTTCGCCGGCCTCTGACGCATTTTCCTAAAAAATCAACATCAGAAGCACATTTGGAAAAGCCCATGATCTATGATATGTTAACGTATTAAGGCAAAGTGTTGTGCAGTCCAAGTTTCCAATAGTTACCAGATGAATGCTTTATTCGATCCTTGGCAATTTGGGAATGTCAAGTACTAAAAAATCTGTTGTGCTGAAAAAGGATTCGGAGTAGACCGACTAAACGAGATTCTGGTTCTTTAGAATTTTTTCTTTTTAGAAATTTTCCGACGGGCACACAAGTCACTTTCACAATGGTGTCCCTCCCCCGCTCCGACTTGAACTCGCATGTGAAAACAGAAAGCCTGCTGAGTCTGCGCGTCAGTAGTCTGAGTATCAGGGCTTCCTGGCCTTAGGGGTCTGGGGGGAGGAGACTTTAGGGGGCGGAAGGGGGAGGATGTGGGGGAAGAGAGAGAGTTGTTTCTGACCCTTCTTTCTTCCCCCCCCCCCCCCCCCCTCCCCCCCTCCCCCCCCTCTTTCCCCCTCCCCCCCCCCCCCCCCCCCTCGCCCCCCCCCACCCCACAGCAGAGGGGCGGGGGGAAAGACACGCTCCCATTTTTATACCTCCCCCCCCCCCCCCCCCTCCTCCCCACACGAGCCACAACCATCCCACACAGACCACTGTGTTCGGGTATTGTGGCTTTCCTGTCTTGGGGGGGTGGGGGGGGGTAATGTGTGGGGGGGGGGGGGGGGGGGGGGGGGGGGAAGAGAGGGAGTTGTTTCTGACCCTTCTTTCTTCCCCCCCCCCCCCCCCTTCACTTCTCTCTCCCCCTTTCTCCCGGAAACGCCTGATACTCAGGCTAGCGCATCAGTCGCACAAAGGAGAGGAGAGGGGGACAATATCTGCTACTATTTTTCCCTCCCCTCCCCCCCATCACATTTCGACGCAAAGAGGCTAGAAACAGATGGCTAAGCCTACATGCTTACATGCTTTATCCAAAGCCGGGGATAGTTAACTCTTTATTGTCTTTATTAGTTCATTATTCTGAGCTTATTTTTGTTAAAGCAAAGTAGTTGACCTATCATTGCGGGAGATTCCAAAACAATACGTGATTTGTTGTACATGACCAAGCCGTTAAAATATATTGTAATACGACTATGTTTATGGGTGTTTGTGAAACTAGAATTTAGCGCCCCCCCGGAAACTCAAGAAGGTAGGGTAAAGAGTAAATGTTCCTGTTTTTCCGAGAAAGATTCGATATAACTTTCTGTTCAAAGTCCAATTTCATCCGCTTTACCTAGCGTATACTAAAAAGGTTTGTAACATAAAAGAATTCTTTCCACATCAAAACAGATGCCTTGTTACCAATACAATGCTCTTTTGTTCCTTTGAAGCAAGATATCGCGTGATCAATGGCCTTTTCAAGTGCCTCATTCCCAGACGTTGGCGCACCCTAATATGAGTGTCCACTCGATCGCCCCTCATCTTCTGAAGCAAACATCTTACTTCCCAGCTTTCAAAAACAGGTTTGTTTGTTTGGATTTGACACATTCACATATAACTATGCGTTGTGTAGCAGTCTTTGCAAAGAAAGTCAATTTTGTGCGAGTAAACTGTCTACGTATCCTTTCCATGCTCAGCGATCATGCTGGCATTGCAAGATCATTTATCTCATTTATGTTCATGCCGCTTGGTACAAGTTACGTTTTATAGTATAACTTTCACCCAGCATGAACATACATGATCCGCCGGAAAATGCGAATTTGATTAGTGCGATCGAAGGGAAATGTCTGATTATTATCAAATTTCGCCTCAGTCTCCCTTGTCCGGCGTCTTTAACTTGCTGTGTAACGGGGAAAGGAAAGAGGCGTCCGTAAAGGTATTAGATTAGTACTTGATCTTCCATTTCCTCAATTTTGGATTTATTAGATCATGGGCACTTTCTATCGGTAACAAAATCAGACTTTTTTTCACGGCTTTTTCTGCGCACACAAATTAACAGACTTTATTAAGATGAAATATTTCGTCCATAAATAGTCCTGTAACAATGGACCGTTCAAGAGCTGTGAGCGTGAAAGCATGAACGGTATGTACGTAAATTGTCAAGTGGTCAAAAATTATCAGACTGCGGTTTCGCCTCTACAATGTAGTGGAGTGAACCCATTGCAGCTTTACTGATTGGACTTAAATAACATAGAACTGCTGTGATTCCCGGCCAACTCTGTCTCGCTAACATCGCGTGATTTCTGTAGACGAGTTTTCAAAGATTCTGGTGAACTATCCGATGGTATTGGACTCCACCCACTCTACAATACTATGGTTCTCTCATGCCTTCAATCAGATTTTCTCTCTCAGTGTCTTCACGTATGTACATTTTATTTCAAGTTGGAAACGAATTTTCTGCGCGAAAAATGAGTGGTAAATTAACCAGTTTAGAACTGATCAACTAAATCGGCGAACTCGAGAATGTATGGAATACTTTTAATTTCACGACATCACGTGAACACATAGTATCGATATAATGTCCCTCAAAATAAGTAAACCCGCAGCGTTTGCATGGAATATAACAATGACAAAATGAAGCAAAATGGACAAGTCTACACCAAATTGCTTTGTTGTAAAGTCGCGTGATTCTGCCAGTAAATTCCAATAGTGTATTTCCTTGTCACATCAAGATTCGTAATTAAATCTGTAAATCAACATGATTCAGTTAACTCAAAGATTTTCAATCATGATCAATTACGACACAGGAAGTATCGGGTGTCTTAAAAGGACCTTTAAAAGTATGTCATCCGCTCTATTTTTAGTCATACTTCCTCAAAGCCTTGGTAAAGTTAGTTGGTTCATATCACATGATATCACTGGCCTAGCATTTCTCATATCCATTTAGTTCTACGAGGTCGGCAGACTTTCTGAAGCTCGACTGTCCACGTAGAAGACTTGTAAGGTGAAATATGTCGCCAATGAATACGAAAATCGATGGTTAAAAAGGGCATGAAAGCAAGCGGATATTAAACAGCGAGTCACCTAGTTTTAATGATCAGCCAAATTTCAACGCAATCCAAGGCGATAGTTCTCTCGTTCACATCGGTATTTTTTTCTTCCACCTCTAGTGTCTCAGCGAATTTACAGTTTATTTCAAGCTTGAAAGGAATTTGTCAAAAAAGAGGTATTTCATCATTGACATTAAATACAGCAAAAACAAAATATAACCAAAAGAACTGATGTAGTTATAATTTGTGTAACATCGTTGTATTCCATTGTCGTATTAAGAGTCTTTTTAAACTATACAAATCAACCTAAACCCCATGTAAAATGATTTCTTTTAGTCATAATCAATGACTGCTTTTTTCATAGGAAAGAATCGCGTTAGTTGGCTCTAAGCAAAATCAACGCTGAGCTTCGTTTTCTCTTCCGACTTCATCCAAGAGTTAACCAAATCACTTCTTGAGGTTTGTTTTAGATTTATTTACTTACA